ATTTATACACAAGTTTCAAAGAAAAATATTTTTTCTTGAAACTCTTACGCACTACCATCCGCATTTGGCTCTCATTTTGCTCGAATGACTTAAATGTTTTTTTCACAAGAAAGTTGTTTCAATTTCTTAATGTTAGAAAATATACTATTAAAATTTCAATCAATACTTGATAGTAATATGAAATATTAATATTAATAATGTTCTCTCTTTCACAAATACATAAAATAATCAAATAAATATAAAAGTTTAAATTTATAATTATAATATATATCAAAGAAACTAGACCACTTTTTAATTTCAAAAAAAAAAAAAATAAATAAAATAAAATAAAATAAAATTTAAATAAGGACTAAATGTCTCCTAAAATTTTATCGAACATTTCGTTATATTAATGTCAAATATAAAATGCATCTTATAAGAAAAAATGTCTAATAAAATTTTGATGGTATCTTTCAAAAATATAGAAAAAAACTTATCTTTATATTTACGTGAATCTAATTTTGCACCCGCTGTGTGCATGTGTGATGGTTATTATCGTGTCAATTAATCGTCGAGGGTGATAATGTGCACGTTACAGCGCGGGTAGGAAATATCGTATCGACCAAAGATGTAATCGGCAAAGATATGCTCCCACCTTGCAAAATGCGGAAGACCATGCCGGAGTGATACACCATCCCGCAAAGCTGCGATTAGCAGGCAGCAACTTATGCTTACCGATTTCCTTATCGCGATTCGATCGTCGAACGCCTCTTTTACCTGCCGGTCTATTACAGCTTCGGAGATGTGAAATACTCAGAGAGCGTCGACGAACGCATCGCTTTGACGGTAGGCGGGCACGAAAGCATTGCCGATCCTCTACTATTCGACGCTATGATATTATTGGAGTCAGAAATTGTATGTGCGTGAGATATCTCGCGGTTAATGATCGACAAATAAGCGTTTACGAGATTGTAGAGGTAAAAATAAAATTTTATATACAATGCCAAGAGAATCCAGATATAAATCCGCCGTCAATATAAAAGCAACAAAAATGAAACGGAAATTTTAATTATAAGAATGTAATTATAGAAAGAGAGATAATATTTTTATATATAAAAATATGTAGAGATGGAATTATTGTAAAAAATTCCGTTTGGGCGTGGAGTGTATTCCTTTTATAATATAATTACAATTATAATTTAATTTTTTTAAATTACACATAATTTTACAAAATAGTATAATATGATTAAGATTTATAGAAAGAGAGAAATTAAAAAAAATGTTATGTATTATATTAATTTGTAAGTATATATTAAATCAAGTATATATTAAAATAAAATATTATAATTAATGCGAATTTATCTTTTATCTAATATTGTAATTTTTAATTTTTTTTTCATTTTCTTTACGGAGTTTCAGACAAAATAGATTTGTTTTTAGTGCAGTTTGACAGAAGGCAAGAAACACATAGGACCACCGGTCGTTGATATCGCTTCTACCGACAATTCACCGGTCATAAATCAGCGCTGAGAATATGTGAGGGATAATAATGAGGGACGAAGACGATGATGAAGAGTCTACGTGGAAGTGCCTGAATGTTACCATCGGGACGACTGATACAGAAGGTGATCGGGAATTTACGGCGTGCGATAATATCGAAATGGAAAGTTATAGACCGTCTTTAGAATTGCGAAAGGTTTATAGTCTAGCTAAAGAGTGCCTATCCGGTTTGGCTGATAATCAACAAAATTGAATGACAGTTAGAAAATTGGACGTCAATTATGAGGTGGTCATTATCATTAGGCGGAAGCTTGATTATTTAAAAAAAAAAGACAATAATTATGCAATAAATATTAAAGTATATAAGTATATGTATAATAAAAATGAATAATAAATGTAATATTTTAATATTTAAATCTACATATGAAATAATAAATAAAGCAAGCATTCAAACAATATGTTTAAAGTTAAACAAAATTAAAAAAATACTATTTATATAACACGGATATAATTAAATTAATAAATATAAAAAACGAGTGCTGCAAATTATTCTATATTAATTTTGTTATCCATATTTTTTATTCACTTTATTTCACTTCACTCTTTATTTATGTATCAATAATATGATAAAAATCATGAAGAATAAAATAAGCGTAAAAGCAGTGCTCTATGTATGTATAATACAATTAAAAAATAAGAGTTTTTAAAAGACAAGAAAAGTGTAAGAAATAATAAGAAGAAAGAACAAAGATAATGAAAATCTAAGTATATAAAAATGTCTAATTTGAAATCGTTGAGATATGGAATTGAGAATTTATAAAATTCTATCATGTCATCGAAAAAGAAAATTATGAAGTATTTATGGATCGCGTAATTGTGAAGCTAAATTTTGTATAACTTTAAAACATACATTTTTTCTGTTTGATTAGTATAAAAAGAAACTTGTCCATAAGTTTATATGTGTGCTTATTGTTCGACTTATTTCATTAAAAATTTCATTAGCTAACTTAACATCACAGAATAAACGAGCATTTAATTTTTCACAAGTAAAATTTTAAATAATTCATTAATTATACTTAGGATTGTTTCACCATCACCGGATGCGATTGTTGCCTCTTTGCAAACATTTATATAATATTCACTCACGTAAACAGAGTTAAATTACAATCGCGCAAAACTCTTGTACAACAATCCTGACATTAATCGCATCTGCGATACGTATAATAATGTAATACGATGAAAATATAATACGAAATAAAATACGAATACGTAAAGCAAATTTATGGCATTCATTACGATTTTTAAGAACGACAATCACTTTTATAAATATTGTTTCAATTTCTTCTCTTCAAGTAAATAAATCACGTAAAATATCTATTTTAATAAATAGCCGTCACGCCAAAACATTTAACCATTAATCACAAGATTTAATTAATGTCGCGGATCATTAAAAGTTATTAATTGTATAGAATGATTCTATTTGACACCTCTCAAGCTTCTCGCGACCATGTCTTGAAGATTATTATGATGACGACTTTTTTGAAACGCGATCAATCCATTATCTTTTCTACGTACATTATTACAATTATCATTTATCAACTTGCAGGATTAAAACGCGTTCGTAAACGTATCAAAATATTATTTATCATCGAAGCAGATGTTTCGCGATTTATTTATTTTTAGTAAAAGTAATACATAGATTTTGGGAATAAAATATGATTATTATACGCGACAACGTTATTGATTTTTTAATACAGTTTTTATGTAGTTTTATATTGTATACTTTTTTGGACTACTTATCGCATCTCCGTCACTGATTCGATGAATATTATACATGCGGAATCAAGGTAAAATCACTGATATCATTTCCGAAGTTTTCAGTCATTAACAAGCGTCACGGATGTGGAACAAATCGATTTTCGTCATACTCTTCGTATATTATTCGTTAGTGACAAACACGAACGAAACGTTACCTTCATGAATAAAGCATGAATTTGGCTACACGATTCTCAAGCAGGCTCGTGGTTTTCGCACTGTTATTCTCCGTTGTAATAATATAATAAAGTACGCGTCGCGTGTTTACAAGAATGTTTACGTTGAGAGTGTCGCGAACATCGATTGGTGCGCAGCCGATCGTTATTAACTATGTTTTCGTAATTATCGCATGAGTGCCATGAAGCAACACAATCAAAGAGGAGAACGAAACCCGGAGAGGCGATGGTCGTGAGTACAATTTATAATTTAATTGATTTTTTATTTATTAAATTAATTGCTTGTTTACCTTTGCGATATAATAATTAATTTTACATTATTATATAATTTAATTTATGTTGGCATATAATATATTGGCAAATTTTTATTTTTTCAAAAAAAGCTTTGAAACTTGAATAATATTAAGTCGAGATAAACATAGATGATATTATGTGATGAGTCAAGTATTGCAGTGATTGCGTGATCAAAGTACTTAAAAGAATGCCAAGTTCTAGGTAGAGTGTTATCTCTTTTATTTATGTGTCAAAATAAAAGTAATGATGTAAAAAGTTAGATTAGAAAAAAGTGCTAAAGTAAAATAATATTATAAACGATAATTTGCCAAATACCTATATATCTCCGTTTATCACATATGATCGCAACCGTGAAATAATGACGATGAGAAAGATTACTTTTATCGCTTTGACGATGTGAGAAATAACGATCATCAATTGTTCCGTCTACTAATGACTCTTTCGTTCTCCTTGATGACTATAGAATACAGGAATTTCATGCTTTTTACGCAAAGTGCATATGACGTTCTTTTACTTTCGAGATTATTACCGAATTACTTCCTTTTATATAAAAGATAATTTTATCTTTGAAATATTTAACAGAAATGAACTTTTGCCGATTAATATGACTCAATTCAAAAGTCATGTTGCATTCGCGACTGAATTATACGCTGAATGAAGCCTTCAACAAGGCCATTGTATCCTGCAACGCGTGCATGAAGTTCATATGATTCAGCGTCGATAACTGCATTGTTTTGGTGCCGCGCGTCATTAAGCCCTCTATTGAATAATGACGGCACCGGATAATCCAGTGAGAGAGCATCAAGCTTAATGGAAATCGCGGTTGCTTCTTTAGGTCCGAGCAGAAAGAACTGCGGGAACTTTATCAAGCCACATAAACGCGAATATGCACATCAGAGTATATTAAATTATAGTCGTAGCATCAAACTCTAAGAATATAATCAAAAATTGAATTTTTCTCGCAAAACTAACGTAAAAACATCATTTAATGTAAGCTTTTTCATTAAATATAATTTTTTATTTAAAAGACAAGCTCGAAATAAATTCGAATGTTTATATCAAGCTTTTACCAAAATTACATCTTTCTGCTTTTTTTATAAATTAAAAATTTCAATCACACGCGTACAGTGCACGTGAATTGTAAATAAATCGAAAGATTTTTCTGCGTACTTATATTTTATAAGACCTAGTGCTACGCATAATTGGACACAGATTTAATGTTAATAAGAGACTTACCAGTGAGACGGATCGTTGCTGAAGCTTGAGACCTAGGTCCTCTTTTTCGTCCCCGCAGTCGGTCGTATAAAACAGCACGCTCTTCTTAGATCCCCTGAAATCAACCCTCGTTAATGTCTTCGACGGATGAGAAGAGACGGGTAGGATCCGTGCCTTAGCGTTAAGCCCACTTTATGAGATACGAACGAGAACTAGGCTTCCGCGGTATAATCTGATTAGCCGAGGACCATAATTCGATCGATAATCTGATCGGACATCTTCTCGTAATGCTATTGATCGATAATGCTCTCTACGACATAGCGATAATTTCCAAAAACTTTTGATATAAAAATAAAAGTGATATACAGAGAGTATACATCTTTTTTTAAATAATAAAACTTCTCTTATATTACTTATAAATCAACCAAATCAACTTAAAAACAAAAAATGAACAAAGTGAATATTAATTCTTATTTAATAAAGAGCGAATGTAACCAATAGTGCGACAGATCCAGCAACGTCTGCGAAATTGCGATATCAAAGCTCATATCTGTGGAAGAGTTGACGTAGCAACGAAAGTGCATCGGTTAATAGAAACAACCGTCGATCGTGCGGTCTCTCTGCGGTCGTTTTCGAATTACACTCTTCAATTATGAGCTATAAATCAATGGCACGATCAACGCTGTCGCAGGGCGATTAAGCTCGCAGGTTGATGGCAGAGTATGCACACTATAGCCGCGCTCTGCATTTATGGTAATCGTACCTGAGCGCCTTCCCATTACGGTTGAAGGGCTGATGTTCGGCGAGCACGGGCGAATCCGTGTAGCACCGGCTCTCGTTCATAGCGACGACTACGGCATCTCTCACGACCCTTTTCAATCGGCCCGATCACATCCGAGTTGACATCTGCAATCAAAAGGAGTAGCTATTAAAATCAATTCACGCGCGACGAATGAAATTTCGGAGTCTTATTCATGGTCTTTTTGCGGTAGCGCAATCTTACGACGTCCTTCAGTCATTTTTTTCGATCAATTTTAAATCAATTTTTTGTGCAAGAATGTCCAGAAAGATTAATCGCAGCTCTTTCTATCTTCCGCATTCGCACGTATCTCTAATTTAACTTTAAACTGAAATTCCATTAAAGTAAACTCTATCTAAAATTAGCTGAGAAATGTGGTTTTATAATCCATTTGCTTTTCTTTAAAGTTTAACTTGCGAAAAGATTTTCTTTTTCAGTCGTTTGTCACTTGAAAATAATTGGTGTCACGATTTGTATTTATTTGTGTAATTACGTTCATTAGGATTAATCGCAATCGGCGGCAATTTTCTGCTAAGCGGATGTTGCGTGATAGTCGCTCAAGCATGAAATCTCCTGCGGAATTTGGCTTTTGTAGAGTATACAGTACCCTCCATAAGTTTGGAAACACCTTACATTTTACAGTTAAACAATCGTATATAGACTGTTTTTTGTTATCACGATTAATAATATCTTAACTAATATACTGATAAAAAACATTCCATTGAGTTTACATTCTTGCATGTTACGAATATCTAATTAAAGAACATTTCTTTAGAGAATTTTTCTCTTGAATTAAGAGGATCCTTTTGACAGATCTGTGCAGACTTTTGCATAAATAAATCATAAGATAACCATAAAATATTTAAATGACATTTTTATTCTAACAGATCGCTGCCATGCGATCTCTTTAACTGTAAAATGTAAGGTGTTTCCACTTATGAAGGGTACTGTATATATGTGCGTATTGATGACGCACGAAGAGATACATCGATTCGATACGAAATACGCGTCGCTGATAACCAAGTCTTCGCTATATCGAGCCCGATTGTTGCGCAGCCCACATAACAATCTCAACCTAACGACCTCGATTACTCGCAACTCCACACATCCGGATGTTGATCCGAGTGTTTCGAGGCGCCAGACCGATCTCGCTACGTGCAAGTGCAACCCACGCGCCATAATCGACTCGAGTGCACGCTGGACAGCGTTCAATTCGATTCAGATGGGCAGTAATGGCGATACTTGTTGTACGTTTATTGTACAGAGTAATCCCGGATGGATTATAAAAACAAATGTCACGAGAATATTTAAATGGAATAAAACTAAATATTATATAAAAAAGTTGCACGTGTGACTACAACGTGATCGTAACGTAATATGTTTGTTTCGTATCCATATAAAGTTATGCTTTCGAAAGAGATTATTAATATTATATGAATATTTAAGCGGAAAATATATAAAGTGTGTTATAGAAATTTTACATATAAATTAAAACAAATGTTTCCTACCTTTTCGATTTTATATTTCTTTTAGCATAATTTTTCCATATAATTCTTATTTCATAATATCGCATTACATAATAGATTAAAATTGATATTTTTTTATCTTTTCTCATCAAAATAAGGAAGTGGCATTCATTTTTTATGCTAACTCATATGGAAATAGATTAAACATGTCGTTAAGCAGCACGCAATGCAAAGTATATTTTCGCGTTTGGCGCCTATAGTAAGGAAGATCTGTGAAGCCATTAGAGGAAACGCGTTAAGGGTTAGGCACGTAGAGCGCCCAAAAAGGCCTATTTTTGATAATTTTTTACTATAAAACAAAAACAGTGATAGAAAATCCTTTTTAAGTACTTAATCTTACAACTTCGATATATAAAAAAAATTTTTTTGCATTTTTTTTTTTACAAAATGGCGGTGACAGAGCTCTGCAACGATGACCACTCTTTCGGACAGTGCCTTACGGGCGACCTACTAGCTGCTCCAATTTTTGCTGTAGAACAAAAAACCAAATTTTTTTTAATTCTTTATATCATTAGCTAGCGAACTACGTACGGAAATTAAAAAATAATGTTTTTGTAAAATGACACAAGTTTGAAGAAAAAGTTTCATTTTTTGACGAAAAATTTTGCACAAAATTGTTTGTAAAAAAAAAAAGTTTACAACGGAACGTAAAATCCGTACGTAGTTCGCTGACAAATGTATCTTAGAAGCTACAGTTTAAATTTGAAGTAAATCGGTCAAGATTTGTGGAGTTTATGAGGTCGCCCAGTTTGAAAAAAGTGATTTCGAGAAAAACGCGTTTAAAGTTTTATGTAACTTCCAAAATGACACTTAGGAATTTGTTTTCCGTTATAAAACCTTTTTTTTCTTATTTCTAAGATCTTAAAGCATCATTTAAGCAAAAAAAAAAAAACGATTTTTTGAAATTTCTACAGTGGCCTAACCCCTTAAAGATATCGTTCTGAACAAGACTTTACGAGTAATACCCGTAATGCATTAAGCAACCGTACACAATGGCCGACTAATTTGCATAAATTATGCGCGAGAAAGTTCATTCCTCCGCCCACGGCGGAAATCCATGTGTTTTATGCGTGTATATAGGCGCGAACACACAACATATTGCGTGAGCGGGATTCGCTGCACTCAACTTGCATAATTAGATGCACCCCGCGATTTTAAGTAGGTAGAAACTTCCCGAAAAAGAAAGGGAATATTTTACATCGTATTTTGACATGCAATTTCAATGAGAAATCTATTATTTCATAAAGTTATATTAAGTAATCGGAAATGGCGAAAAATAGCTAGATTAAAAGATGAGATTAATGAGAACTTTATTTCTTTGAAAAGGAGCAGCTGATGTGTTCGATATCGAGCAATAAAATAAATAATCAAAATACATTTTTTTAAATTTATAAGCGAAAGTCGAATAATAAAAACGTAAATAATTTTATGTAAATTTTGCTTCGACACAATTTTAAATTAATATTTAACTGCATTAATATTCAATCTATTTCTCGAATGTTTTTATTAGAAGTTATGAATATAAATAAATGATTAATTAAATTTCATAAAAAATAGATTCAAAATTTGCAACACATTACATAAATAGATAAATATTACTTAGAATTAATAATTTATTTTGTATTGTGCACAGCTTGTTCTCTTTAATGAAAATCGTTTTAAAATAAATATTATTTACTATTAGTAATTTAATTAGTAATTTTTTTTATTGTACATTACTTGTTCATTGTGTAATAAGAAACCTTTTGCGCGAAAGCTTTTGAAGTACTTACGTTCTATCGAGAAACCTATAAAATTCATTTCATATTAAAATTGCAAATCATTTATCGGATACCTACTTCAATAGATGAAAAATCAATTCTAAAGAAGTCAAAGCATTCCATGAAACGAGATTTAAATTAAAATATAAAAAAAAGAACTTTTATATATCATTATACAATGCGTGATAATATAACATACGTAATAATATAATAAATCAATACATCGTAATAAAATAAGCGCAACTAAAATCGAATATTTGCTCTTTTTCTATGTTTGAGTTGCCGATTAAAATAAATAAATTTGCACAAAGGTACAAGTTTGTTTACGCTATAGTAACTGCTTTGTTTTAATTCAGTTCTGTTCTGCTGTTTGCGCCATACATTATTAACGAATTGCACACGGTGCATCCTTCGTTACCTTGCCATGCGGTATAGATATTCTGAAACTGCAACTAATTGCGGGCACGTCTAACAAGTCGACCTTGACGCGTGCGTAATGGCAAGAATACAAGCCCGCAGGGGAGACATCAATAGAAACATGATAATGATCGTATGTTACACATCGACAGCACGTACAGCTTTATGAGTTTGATCAACCAGCCGCAACGTTGTTTCACGCCGTCGCGGATCGCTTTCAAATAATAGCGTTGCGGCGCAAATAGACGAACGACCACGCCTGCGATTCTATCCAGAGATAGGTTTTTCACTGAAAAACTCTCGTATTGACGCGAAACTTTTTTATTGAAAAGATTTCTATACGCGCGTGTACAATCACTTCCGTTCTCTTTGCAAACTATTTTTATTCGCGAGATCTTTGTTTACTTATTAATTATACAGTGTGCGAGCGAGCGTTAAATATTTTTAAAATTTTAATTGAAAAATTTCATTTCACTTTTAAATTTTAGTATCCTCTTGTTAAGTATAGAAAAATGATAAATGGATTTTTTAACATAAATATAATAATATTACATTTCATATATTTGTTATATGCACTTCTCCGAGGAGTATTATATATTAAATGCTCAAATTTAAGAATACAGTATATATTTTTGCAACATAAGATACATTCTTTTATTCCGCTTGAAAAATACACACGAAACGTATACTTCATTAAAGACAGTTGTAATTAGCCGTAATAACAGCCAAAAATAATTTATCTATGAATTGTGTTTCATCATTCGTGTAGATAAATTGTTTCGCGTTAGAACGTGTAAAATCTTATAAAATTTTAATTTTGGTAAGAAAAACATACGGCAGTATAGTATATCCGCTTTAATTGCTGCTGCAATGAAACTGTGATTAAAACAATATAGCCGGTACTTCTTTATACCTATATATCAGGTACTATATATCATTTTACTCACATACTACAGACTGCAGAATATTTACGTGTATAGATACGCGCGCCACAGACGCGATACGTTATAAAGGGCGTACGAGAAGGGTGAATTATGCATGATCAAGATCCGTGACGGAGTTATGACAGCTACACAGCTGTTCGTCAGGTGTAGCTTCGAGCTAAAGTCAGTGAGCTTGTCGAGCTAAAACTTCCTCGGAGAAAGGATATTCCTCGCGATTTTGGGGTGTCGTGGATTTCCGCTTCGATGCTTATCTATTGAAAATTACAGGATACACGAAAATCCAATAGAATCTTCGTTATATTGTCGGTGAAAATAATATTTCAACTATAGAGAAGTCTGCGACTATAAAAATAGAGAAATTTTGCATTTATTATATATGTATGCATATATGTGTGAAAGGATATCGAGTTTAATAGCGATCAGCATATCTTGCTACTCTTCGATACGCGAGCAATCGGAA